TAACGAAGTTGAATGATTTTTCCTGAAGCCAAATTGATTATCACATAGAATTTCTAGTTTACTTAAATAATTATAAAGACGGTTATAAACAACCTTTTCAAGAAACTTAGAAAAGCTAGGGAGAATCGAGATCGATCTATAGTTCGTAAAGAGTGATCGATCACCGGCTTTAAAGAGTGGTATCACGCGAGCAATTTTCATATGGTCGGGAACAATGCCATGAGAGATAGATAAACTGATTATATGAGCTAAAGGAACGGCTATAATTTGAATTAACTCTAAGTAGGTTTCTTTACAATTGTAACAATTCTATTAGGTTTGAAATAAATTCTAAATTCAGAAACGGGGGCTTCACCTTTAGCCCTGGCTTAATCTGTATACTATACTCAGTTAATTTCAAACTATCAAATTGTACAGTTGTGACTAGAAGTGTTCTCATTTTTGGCGATGTTTTGCCATAGAAAATTTAATAAAGTATGCAAAAATCTACTTTAATTTTGCATTTGATAAAACTGCTGAAGAGAAATCCCTTCGCTCAAGCTGCAAATTGATTAGATGAAAGAAAGACGTTAAAAGTGAACGCGAGATTTACATCTGCGTTTTATGCCAATTGTTTGTAAAGGATGATCGGACACGGAGGGAGCGCAGGGGGGTGACAAGATTTTCTTCATACCTCTTACCTTTTTCAAACCACGCTCGTTGTTCACAATCTTGTAAAAAACGCCATCATAGCTGTATGACATACTAAAGGTTTTCACCCATTGATTAGAATCTTGCCGTCCCTGTGTCGCTACTCCTGTGACTTTTGTCCAGCTTCCAAAATCCACTTGAAACCACTGCTGCGCATTGTTGGTCCCTGCTGCCCAGCTCCCATATCTACCACTACCAGCAGATAAAAAGTGAAGTCTGCCAACTGAAGGAGCATGACTGAAAGCATTAGCAGAGCTTGAGGCAATGATTGCTGAATCAGGTATGTCACCGGACTGCATTCCAAGAGCTTCCATACACTGTGGTGGATTAGGGGTGGAAAAGCCTATAAAATTTTAAACACAGACATAGTTAGACCTATCAAATAAAATTGAAACAGATAACAGGTAAACCAGCGTCCATCTCAGACCAAAAAAATTGCACATACCATCAGAGCATCCATAAAGCTCCACCCTCAATGATGGATATCCTTGGTATGTTTTCACGTTGATTTTGATGAAGCGAGCGATAATTGGATGATCAAGAATATGACCTACTGCAGTTGTGTAGTCTGTATTGCCTTGGAAGACCTTGACAATATGAAGGCAAATTATTATCTTAAAATAAGGTATTGGAATAATATTATAGAGGTTAAACATCACGCCTGTTACGTCAAACGGCTGACTTGAAACGGCGACTGACGGTGTTATTTTCACAGCGAAATTCCGCATTAACTTTCCTATAGCCCATCACCATAGACTGGTATTTAGAGTGTTTTTTTAATGCCATTTTTGAAAAAACCATTTATGTACGTATGATAAGTCAAAGTTTATGATTTCTTGGACTATGAAAGGATCCTTATCGGCAACGAATGTCCGTGTGTCATCTGCATAAGTCGATAGATTGCTACCTTTTATCAAGTAAACGAGGTCGTTCATGAATATGTTGAATAAAACAGGCCCATGTATGGATCCATGAGGAATTTCCAGTTGTTATATCCTGCCATGTCGAATGAATTTTTCCAAGTTTTCCCCGTTGCCTTCGATTAGAAAGATAGGTCAATGATTTCGTCGTCAACCTGGTATTCCGTTAATTCCAGTACTATCAGATCATGCGGCAGAGTAGATAAAGGCTTTTGTTAAAGCTATTGAAACAACTTCTGATGATTTTATGATTGTCAAGTCAAGCTCTTGTTTCCATCGTTCTGTTAGATTAAGAATAGCAGTGTTATATCCATGGTGTTTCTCTATTGTTTTAATCCGTCTTATGTACAACGTTGATAACAGTGGCCATAGACGGTCAAATTCAAGCTGCATTAACTCCACGAGACCACCGAGGGACAGCAGCCGCTGTATAGGGGACTGAAATGTTATTTTTTGTTTGTTTGTTTGTTGAGTTTTTATTGTTTTTAGTTTTTGTCATTTATTATGTCATTTTCTAGACATGTCATCCAAAATATCCACTACGTAACGTTTCTTTACGGCCTCCACATTAACTTATACTGTTGTTAAGTAGAATATCAATTTTCCAAACCCTTCATTTTAAAGACGATGTAATTCTTAAGTTCGATTAACTACCTTTGACTAGTTTCGTCGTTGTTGCAACGGCTCGATAATAAATGATAACTAGTTGAAAAAGAAACGAAGTGTCCTAAAATGACGAGAAATGTCTTTATACCTAGCAATTCTTGTACGCTGTGAAAGCTGCTCCATCATTACTGTATGAAAGAGTGTATGTCTTAGTCCACCAGCCTGCGTCATACCTTCCTTGCGTGGCGATCCTTGTTACCTTGGTAACATTACCCAAGTCAATCTGCAGGAACTGATAAGCGTCTCCATATTGGGAAGCCCATCCACCATTGAAACTGCCTAGAAAAGGTGTATTAGCCGAGATACACAAAATAGTTTACACTATTTGCGAGTAGGGCACCGTCGTCTCAGAGCAGCCTGAGATCGAAATCGTGTCTCCATATATGCGTTTTCGATGGTATAGTTTGGATGATCGACTTATCAATTCAAGCAGAGGATTTTTTTTAAACAAAAATGCGCATTAGCGAGGCTAATTGATACGTATTTAATGGACGGAAATAAGACGCTGATAAGCTAAGATATAGACTATAGTTTCACCACGAGATCACCCCCTGTTCAAACAAAACAAACCATACAAAACATACCTTCCTTTTTCTCGTTTAACCTTCCCCTCTCCGGTCCCCAGTACTGATCTCTCCGGGATGATGCCACAAATGCCGAGTCCGGTATCTTGCCTGAGTCCATTCCCAGAGCAGATGCGCACACTATGTCCGGAACTTCAAACCCTGTTAGCACAGTACAACAAGAGCAACATTTCACTACCTAGATATTTTATTTGAGAAATTTGTCGTTTTACGTGAATATAATTACAGCTGTAGACTGCGAGCAGTCTCTCTTTTTCTTTCAGATTTCCTACACATTAAAAGGTTAATGTGTTAATGAACAGTCTTATAACTGTTATATGGTAGAAGTCTGAGTTGAATAAATCAGTTTAGTTAAATTAAAGCAAACGATCACCTGACTTGCATCCATAGAAGTCGGCTCTTAGCGTAACGGCTCCATACCAAGTGAGTGGAACAATTCGAATAAAACGGGTGATGATTGCCTTCTTCAACAAGTGGCTAACAACCATGAATTGATCTGTGTTACCATCAAATTCCTGAGACACAAAATGAAAATTCAGTTTTGGATTTAGATACCTTGACAAGACGATTAAAATTGTTGAGCATTCATACACATGCATTGAGTGATCCTTCTTTAAAAAGTTCTGGAATCAGGCAGGCACTGTTTTATGACCCACAATTAAGAAATCGCGGAGACATTTTACAGCGCATAGGTTTCGTATAGAGGAACAGGGAAGGATTCCAGGGGACCGAAAAGATTCCTTTGTTATGATGATTTTTATCGTTTACAATTTAAGGAAAAAGGAAACAAGGCTCATTGTGTGAAAAACACCGCTCTTGATACCCCAGAAGATCTTCGCCTGCATCATTTTGTAATAGTCTCAGCAAGTAAGGTGTAAGTACTATTCTTCTTTGCTTAGTGTAGCCTCATTTCTGGTTTTCAAAGTTGTATCTTTTACCTTAGCAGTATCGCCGTCTTCCTTGCAGTCTTTGAAAAATACCCCGTCGTATCCATACGCTAGTTTAAACTTTGTAACCCACTGAGCCGCGTTCAGCCGTCCCTGTATAGCGACTCTCGTCACCTTCGTCCAGTTTCCAAAATCCACTTGGAACCATTGTTGATTGTTCGATGTCCTTGCTAACCAGCTTCCGTAGCCGCCACTTTCATACTGAGCTTGCAAACGCCCTTGGTCAGGTCTGTAATACGAGTTATAAAAGCTGGAAGCTATTATTGCTGAATCGGGGATGTTTCCATTTTCTAATCCAAGTCCGGCCATGCAAGATTGTGGCTTCGGCGTAGAAAATCCTGCAAGAACGCAATATGGACCATTGTAAATAAGGGATCTTGCTTTTAATAGCATTTAGAAGTCGGCAGGGGGGCGAACAAGGGTTGGAATAGTCTATGCTACCTTTATCCAAAAGTACGTACTTGCGAGGTGTTCTGAATAAGGTGCTAAATGTTTTTAAAGACGAGATAAACAATTGCGGCTTATTTTGAAATTTGATTAAATCATGTAAATATTACTGCAAATTGACGCAAAGCTGGAGTGGCCATCCCTAAGATCATTAAAAAAATCAAGAGTAGTTAATGTTGACATGGTTTAACTTAACTTTCCATTCGTCTCACCTGAATAACAACCATATAACTCAAATCGGAAAGAAATGTGTCCATGCCACTCGATCGGATGAATGCGGATATAACGGGCTAGGATTGGTTCGTCTAGGGTATTAATTACGACTGTAGCGTAGTCTTTGTTGGCGTAATATTCCTAAAATGAATAAAGCAACTCAATGAACGTTGTCTAAAAATAGTCATTTAAATCGATTCAATCGAGTGTTCACGTTCCCGACGTACGGCTTTCAGAAATGGTAATAATAATGATAATAATAATGATAGTGATAATTATTGTAATGAAAATAATAACAATAACAATTTTCAAAAGATAATAATACATATGAAGTAGGTTAATCGCAAGATTTTTTAAATCTTGTACCGGGTCGAATTCCACTATATATTATGTATCTATATCTATACCTATATTAATAGGCTAATTTGTGTTTATTGAAAAGTAACGATTGGTAATGGTTAATAAAATTCAGATTTCTTAGTCTAGAACGTATAGCATTTATCAGCTAGGCATATAACGGACCTCCTTCCTTAACTGATAGCTAAACGGTTTGACGCGAGGCTATAGACAAGATGGATGCCCAGTTGGGTTCGATACCACTGGAGACGTTTCAAAAATTATTGTGAACTCGCCTCTCTAAAATATAGTTTACACTTACAGGCTTGGACAGAACTTTCCTTTTAAAACAGCGGCCCAGATAAACTTTGTATAGATAAACTACTTCATTTGTGATACTTACTCGAGGTACGTGGTATGGCTTGTGCAACTGATACTCAAAGAATCCACCATCGATGCTGTAAGAGACAATATATTTGGTGATCCACTGTCCCACATTATATTGACCTTGAGTTCCGATCTTAGTCACTTTAGCCACTTTTCCAAAATCCACCTGTATCCACTGTCCCTTGTCCTTTCTCTTGGCGATATAAGTGCTGTGATGGTTCAGTCTGCCGTAACCTGGTGCATAGCTAGAGCTATACTATAAACGTGAAAGAAGAAATGTCTTTAATATACATGTTGTGGCTCAATTTTACCCTTGGGTTTAAACTTATTTTTCTTTGTTTTAAACTCATTGTCATACATTACCATTCCCCAACAACATAATTTATATAACTATGACTGAACTGTTCGCCACCAAGGGAAACGTATTAACCTAATTTAGACGTACAGGGGGAGTGGATTGCAAGCTTTTAACTCGGCTTTTTTTTAATTACCATTTTCTCAACTATAATTGAGCTAAAATCTGTTCTTTCCATTCCATTAGCTGCGTCATTTATTACTCAGACAAATGTTGGCAAAAGCTGTTTCTTGTAGGTTTCTATGCCGGTTACTGTAACTGTGTACTTGAAAATTTTTGTCGTTTCTTCTGAGCTTGTTATGGAGTTTTGTCTCATTCCCCCTCTCCTAGCTTTATAGCTAAATGCCTCGGGGACAATTCACAAAAAAACAATGTAATAACAGTCACGATTTTTTTATGATGTTGTTATGGGATGTCATAAAAGCCAACCACTGAGCTTTTCTACCAAGCACTGTACAGTTTGAAGTCGCTCTTCTTAGTGCCACGTACGTATTTCAGTCAGTTTTCTGCCGAAAACGTCAATCTTTTCTTTTCGATGAAAACAAAACAGAAACCTAGCTGACCCGTCGCGGCTAACTGCCTAAAGCCTTTTTGCAACTGGAAATCACAGGGGCTCATTCATTCTTTGCGCTAAAATGCACGTACAGTATAAACAATACTAAAACAGCCGAATCAAATTCAGTAAGAAACATCAGTTCTAAATCACTTCATTACCACACACGTTTGAAAATATATTTCTGCAACTGTATCAGTCATACCACAGAAGCAGCCTTCAATGCAGAGTTTGGAATTTGTCCATTACCCATTCCCATCGGATCGTCACAATCTAAAGTTCAGAGTGCAGAACATATTAAAATCAGTATAAACACGGATGTTAGCAAGCAGTAGAGACAATTATGAAAGAAGCACTTCGGACGTGTTCAACCATTCCGCTGAAATTTAAGTAAGTAAAAGCGGTGGTCTAAAGCAGTCACTCCTTTTGTGGGTGTTTGAATGTGTAGCATTGTTTTGCCATCACACTGAGTCTGAAGTTGTTTAAATATCGTTCTATATTTCGATTGACCGTTGCGGCGGGTCTTTATGAACGATTTAAAAAAGGGAATATTATTCCCTCAATCACGTTGCGAAATATTGAATTCATACTCTTGAAAGTTACGCTATTTAAGGCCCACAGATACATGTGAGAAAAACATTGAAACACGTCATCGACACTGACTCACTAGTACATGTGGTGGCCAGACGGCCTATCCATTTTAACCGGGAACTCTTATGTGCCCATGCATAAAGGCGTTTCGCAGACCAGTTTATTTTAGATGGCGATTTTCCCGCGAGTTTCGCGTTTATCAAATAAGTTTTATAAATTAGTCATCAGTAAGTGGAGTCCAGAAATTAGTATCAATGATCTTTTGATGGCAATTTCTTTTCTTTTCTTTTTCCTTTGTGTAACTATATCAAACAAAGGATGGGCACATGAAGAGGTGCTTCCATTTTCCCGGAAAAGTACTCCAAAATAATGCTAAGAATAAGCTGATCTGTGAAAACGCCGTTGTGTAGCTAAGCTAAGTAGGGGAGTTGCACACAGCGGATTACTATGATGGGCTCCTGTAGCTGACCTTTCATGATCAGATGCATTGGTTTTGATGCTTTAAATGCATTTATGTAATGTATGTATACGTTTGAACTGTTATGAGTAACCCTTACCTCCGGCCACAAAACCTGAAAAATAGGAAAGATGATGTTAATTAGTTATACTGAAAGTCCAGTCGGAAAGGAAACTGAATTGTCGTCAGTTTAATAGAAATTTAGTTGCAAGGATCTACTCGTCTTCCAGAGGGGACTACTTTATTTAAAGAATTTTTTGACTTGAATTCGTTACAGCAAGAAGAAATAAAAATTAGATTATCGATTATGGAAAATATCGTTTTAATCGTGGCGCCCAAGTCAAGTTCATTTTAATCGGCGCGCTACCACTTGGATCTGCATGTGACGTCATTAAAGATTAACAAACGCCATACTGAAATATCAAGTTACTGACTTTCTTCTTGCCTTGCTCTTAATATAATGATCAAATATTTTGCCTCCATCTCGAAGGGAAAAAAAAATTAGGTATATGGTTAGTTTAAAACGTGCACATCTGGAATGTGTAAGGCCCTTTCGTATGCAGAAAAAAAGTCAGACTTTTTTCTCATCGCGTTGGCGTCCAATGTAATTTTGAATGTGAATCTTGTTAGTAGTTTTTTTACACAAATTTAAGCTGCGGATGGTGTTTCATTCGTTTCTCCCTTGTTCTAATTTAACCAGCCTCTCTGTACACTTTTAATTAAAAAACCGATCATAGTAGTTTATACACGGGAGGTAGTAAGTAAGCGGCAGTACTTTTGATCTGAAATTGACCTTGACAACTGTCAGCAGTAAAGTGAGCAAATTAAAAATTTAACCTCATGTGGTCAGTTATTTAACCAAATAAATGCTCCTTTTTCGATTTATATTGCCAAGGTAGAGAAAAGAAAATATTTAACAATTATTCCACGATTGTACGTTGGATATGAGATGGTACATAGCCAACTCGGCGCTACGCGCCTCGTTGGCTATAATCATCTCATATCCAACCAGCGAGTGGAATAATTGTTTTATGAAAAACGGCCACAAAATATTTTCAGTTTCTTTTTAATTTTGTGTAGACGCGTACAGTTACCATATTTGGAGAGCATAGCATAATGGCTCATATACCTTGATGGCTAAGCCAATCAGAGCTCTAGAATTGCATTATCCAATGATTCAGTTTTTAATAATAATGGTCACTTCCTACTCATGCTACGTTCATAAGGCACTGGACGAATTCTCGACCGGTTGAAAACTTCTGCGTTTGTGTTCTGTTCACACGGAAGCACCCTAACGGTAACGAAAAATTTAGACGTGCCTAATTGTCATTGAATGTTCCTTGTGAACTGTGCAAAAATATTGAACGACCCCGTGTGAACGAAGTGTCCGGTCAAGTTTTTCATCCGGTCGAAAATTCGTCCGGTACTGTGTAAACGGCTCATTCTTGAAAATGTTTAATCGATTGCCAACCTGGACGGAGACTGAATTTGCCCTACGCAGCCACTCATCCTTCATGTCACGAGTTCTGAGTTGTAATTCTCAGATACTTGGTGAGACAACTAAGACGATGATGGAACTATAAGTTGTTTTGGTAAATCATCCTCTCTCGAAAATATTTCGGTTGATTTCAAAGGATATGTTTGTATTTGCAAGGAGCAAGCTACGGATTCCTTGAATATGAAATTGTGTTAAAAAATTTAAAATTCAACACTCTTCTTCCCACTGGTTATATTTTAAAGTTACAATTCCCGGCTCTTGGTGTTGCGAAGGTAGAAAATATGCCGAGAGAGCCTTAATTTGGAGAAAATCCCATTTTATTTCGATTAACCCACCCCTTAACACTGCAGATGACTTTCCATGAATGCCTTCATCAAAGATTTGACCTAATACGCTACCTGTCTGTACAACGGGCCACATAGTAAGAGATTTGCCAGTAGGTCAGTGAACGTTATTCTCAATTGGTGCGTAAGACCCGCCGTAATTTAACCTCGACCAGCTCAGAAAA